CACGGTTTCCACAAAAATATTAAGCAGCAGTTTGAACAGTAGTACTGTATATATCTATATATTGGCTTAATATTGCGCTGTCTGACCCCTATTGCATGTTAAAGTGCCTTCTCCATCAAGGTTAAGTACACCCGATACAGAATTCATCATCTCTGTGTGTTTGCACCGGTACACAGTGTTTTCATACCGCATGAAAGAGATCCTGCATTTAATTAAAGCACTCTCTCTATACGTACCTCTTGAAGTCTACATTACTTCACATTAGTGAGCCAGCGGATTCCCCCTGGACAAAATTGATTATTATTTCATTAGATCTAGCTCAGTCTATTTATGGACTTTTAATCTCAGGCGTGTCAGGATCGTTTTTCTTGCGGAGGATCATTAGGGCCGTATCAACAAAGTCATTTTATAATAATACTTCCAATATCAGTCTGGTTTTATCATGTATATTTCATTATCATTGTTCCTGCATTGATCCTCACCTTATAATATAATTCATCATTAAATGAGCTCCATTAGTCAGGACAATGGAGAACATCCCAGATAAAGCACTACCACACTGCCATCTCACACTGATTTATCTGTTTACAAAAGACATGTAAAAATGACAGAATTTGTCATGCAATTTGAAAAAATAATTTCCACCTAGAAATATTTTAAACACTATTTTGAAGAGAATTTATATGTATCATAATAATTATAAAGGCTACATAGAATAATTAGGACACAAAAACATTTTAAAAATGTAAAATAATTAAATAATTACAAATAAAAATAAGTGTCAGTACCATGTAAAACAAACTACTAAAGGGAAAAAGCATGTAAATATGGAGAATTATTCTTTCTTTTTTTTAAATGGTGACCACGACCATTCCCTTATACATTAAAGCAAGTTTCAATCTAAAATCTAATAAAAAAAAAAAAGTCCATGGTACGTTTTGCATCAAGTACCAACATGGACACACACGGAACATGACATTGCCTCATTTTAATGCTGCACTGAAGCTGCTGTATGTCTCTTGCAAATGCGTTCCAGCTCACGATAAGATATGCATCAGTCTGCGCCATTAAAACTTGCTAGCATAAATACAACATTGCAAATCCATTTACGCGCAGCCCCTTTAAAGCTCTAGCCGGTGCCAACTTAGTATAATGGAATCTTGCTCTGGAAAACAAGCGATCAAAAGCACTTGCTGCTGGAAGGTTTGCCTCGCTCACGTACATCAAGATCTTTCCTCTTACATGCTCAGAAACCAAAGCAGACAATGTCAGTGTTAAGAAAAATGGCTCACAAAGAGTTTCCATTCCGCTAGCGAGCAGAACCCAGATGTCAAGCGACACTGTTAGACACACACTCATCGGGATACGGTGTTCATGCATATGCCGTGTGTGCGTGTGTGTGTGTAGTGCACTCACCAGCGATCCACTCTCAACTGCACTGTGCTTCTGTAATTGTGAGGTGATGCCTGTGTGTGTGTGTGTGCTGAGCCTGGTTTCTCAGGATCCCTCACCCTCCCCAACCTCTGCAGAACCCTCCACCACTCAAGGAACAGCCCACCGGAGACACATGCGACGATGTCACATGTACCGCCACACTGAACACTTCCACATGGCCAAACACACGCGCACAAGCACAAATTTCGATGTACGGATAGAGAACAATTCCTGCATACCAAGAGGCTGTCCTAAAGAAGTCGCGTGTGTTTGTTTCCAGGCTGAGCGCTGTTCTCCATTGCAACTGAGCAATCCCCGGAGCGCTTGCCAAGTCAAGCAGAAGCGAGTCACTAAAGAGAGCAAGCTAGCGTTCACCTCTTCCCATCACTCGCTGCGCCTGTGTCCTCTGTGTCTTTCACTCCCCCCGCTCCGACTGCATCCCTTCACCGGGAGGTGTTATTGAGTGACATCACTCTGAGGATTTCCTTTTGTTCCGCAGACAGATCACTTCTCTCTCTCTCTCTCTCTCTGTCTTTCTCTCTCTCTCTTTCGCTCCCTCTCTCTTCACAGTGCTGTGAGCTATTTTTAGCAACAGAAAAAACACAGCAAGACTACAAAGCAGTTGGTTAGTACACTGAGAAAAAAAAATGAAGCCAAAAGTGGCTGTGTATTATGAAAAGGTGCCTGCTGCGGGAAAGAAACTCAAAAAGGAAACCCATTTTGTCTCCTAGAGAGCAATAAGATTAAGTGCAAATGGAGACTTTAGCTTATGTCTACTGCTTTTCAGGTTTTCTTCTGAGAATGAGACCCAGTGACATCTCGATTGTGTCACAAACAATAATTCTACAAGAAGTCTGCAATCAAAAGACTTCTCAAAACGGCTCTCATCAAATGATCCCAAGGCCAAATGATCCAAGCAATGCTATACACATTAACCGTATAGATTATACTCTTACTTTGTCAATAACTGTCTCCTCCTTAGTGACTATTTTTAGTGCTTGACTCTTGCATTGTCAATACAAGATCTTGAGCAAACATGGATGAAAATAACCTTAATATCATTATCAAACTGGAATATGGCCATTAATCGCATAATTAATGTAATGTTTACATAATATATGTGTGTACTGTGTATAATTATTTTGTATATACAGTTCACACACATGCATGTATATATTTAAGAAAAATGTGTTATTAATATATAAAATATTTATATTTAATATAAATTATGTATATATATATATGTATATATATATATATACAGTATATGCATGCAAATATTTCTTAAATATGTCTTAAACATATAAACAATTCTTAAATTTTTATGTTTCTTAAACATGTGTGTGTATTTTATATATATATATATATATATATATATATATATATATACAAAATAATTATACACACTACTCACACATATATTAAATAAACACAAACTTTTATTTTGGATGCGATTAATCGAGATTAATCGTTGCCCAGCACTAAATGTAATATAATATAATATAATATAATATAATATAATATAATATAATATAATATAATATAATATAATATAATACAATAATGTGATTACGCTTAATCGTAGTAACCATATTCGCATTAAACTGTGTGGTGTGCGGCGATTGTAATCGCAATAAACAGGCGTGCAAACACATTAATCGTATTATCACAGCTCTGAATAATATCCAGTTCGTCCATAAAAATGTATTTTGAATTTGATATGATTAGATTCAAACAATGGACGATAACATGCATACTGTATGCCGTACTCTGATAATTAGAAATAATCGCATTATTGGTGCACAAGTGTGCTCTCAGATTTGTGCTCAAGATATTGTATTACAAGAATTCTGCAATCAAAAGTCTTTCTCGTCATATTATTCCAAGGCAAAATGATCCGAGCAATGATATACATATCAATTTCATAGCTTAAACTGTAACTTTATATCAACAACTGTTTCATTTGAGACTATTTTTATTTCTACGACAGAATTTTAGGAGACACATCTGTTGCCATTTCATCAAAACATTACGGAGAACTCAATTAAGTCTCCAGAGACATGAAAGAGCAATATAACCTTCAAGAGCCTCGGGAGGACAATCAACCACTACAGAGCAAATTCTCCCAAAAGACAAGTGTGTCATTTCTGCACCCCAGTGTCAGAATAACAATGTTTTCAAACAGGTTTTCGAGTGTGTTTCAGATGCTCAGAAGAGTGTAATGTACTTCTGAAATCAGCAGAACAAGAACGAGCACTTTATATCTAAAAAAAAAAAGCCTCAGCATGGGCCTCTCAATAATTTATAAGTATAATGAGCATCTGTTGTTTTTCCTGGCAGTGGGCGATTTCTTCTTTTTTTCTGAGGGGAAAAAGCATTTGTTAAACGAGGCGATGCACAGCAACTACCTCAGAGCACGTGCGCTGCACACGCGTCCACACGGCCCTCTGTTAAACAATATATGCCAGCGATCAAATCATCCAAAGCATGCTCAGTGGAGCACTAACATCTCTGTTGCTAAAAATAACCCCTCGTCCTCCGCTGAGCTTTCTTAGTCCTCCGCTGTTTCTTTTTATAGCCGTGCCTGGGGAGCTGGCCTGCCGTTTTTAGAAGGACATGACCACAGTCGCTGCTCCTCGTCCCGTTTGATCTCAGCTGATGACACATGTTTACTTGCTCACAAACACACACACAGATGCCAAAACATGGAAAATCACGACGAGTCTTCCCTTAGGCAGCATTTGCTCTTTTCACTGTCTAGAAAATAAGTAACCTTTATTGATAATATTTTCTTTTCACCTTTCCAGGTTCTTAGAAACTGAAGTCATTGGCTAAAGTTATATAGTGATGAATGAGTGTCTACAGAATTGTTTGTTTTCCCAATTGATTCTATAGCAAAAGAAATATCCACTATAATGTGGGAAATGTGTTCTGGGTGGTTGCTAGGGCATTGCTAGGTGGTTGCTAAGTTTCATAGGGAGTTGCTATGATAAGACTACACGGCCTCTAAGTCAATAGAGGCCAACCCTAAATTACTAAAATGTTCTGGTGCTGAGATATGGCTTTTCACGTTCCTATTCAGTTGCTAGGCTGAGTTAAATGGTTGCTAGGGTGAAGAGAAAAAGAGGGCAACATTTCTGTCACTCCCTCTGATGTTTTACAAACACTCTCTTGGTGTTTCTCTTACTCTCTAAAGTTAGAGATTTTTTTTTTATTTAAATCCAATATGATAAAAAAAACAAAGTATAATGTTAATTTTTTAACATTTATGATAATTGATATATATATGTATATATAATTACAATGTTAAAAAACAGTATTACTGCATCGTATTTACAGTATATACCATTGCTCAATGAATATAGCTAACAATGTCACTGAATAATTATAATACAACATAATATAACTAATATAATCTAATCTAATCCAACTGTTATGTTTAGTTTGTTATTAATTCGATTAATCGCAACTTATATAAATGTGCAGTGTATATATATAATAAACATTTATGTTAGATGTGATTAATCGATCTGACAGCACTAGTATAGATATGTATCTGCTCTTACCGTGAAACTGTTGTTGACATTCTTTGTGCTTGATTCAGCAACACTCGCATCTGAAAGATCCACTTCGTCGAAAATAAGAGACTGTGAACAGGAGGAGAAAGAGGAGATCAGTAAACACGGACGATCACAGCGCCGCAACAGAATTAGCTGTCATTGACAATCTCTAAGAAAGCAAAAATCTTATGCACATTGATACTGTTCTATTGAAATGAAACAAAAATGAGCTTACTGAAATATTGCTTATCCCAGGGATGGGCAACGTCGGTCCTGGAGTGTTGCTGTCCCGCAGACTTCAGATCCAACCCTAATTAAACACGCCTGAACAAGCACAATGTCTTCAGGATTACTAAGGCTACAGGTAGGCGAGTTTTTTCTTTCAGGGTTGTAGCTAAACTCTGCAGGACAGCAGCTCTCCAGGACCGACACTGCCCTTCCCTGCGTTATCCTATGCGCTGACATGCATATACTGTATGCTATATGAGTTTAAGATGGATCGAGATAAGCCTGAGATATGATACCATACACCACTTTCAGTGAGAGCCAGGATGTTAGAAACCACTGCTAACAAAACATTTGTCATTTTCTACAGTTATAATTAGGACTGGGGAATATGAGTAAAAATATTGTATTATATTGACATTTTTTGCCACGTAAACGGTATCTCTCATAATCGAACTTTATTCAATTTAATTTATTTTTATTGATATAATTAAATCTACTATTTAATTTATTTTTTTGCAACTTGATGGACAACACAAGCAAAAAGATCAGATTATTCAATGCTTTTTTTGCTCAGCGAGGCTGCATTTATTTAATCAAAATACAGTAAATATTGTGAAATATTATTACAATTTTAAATATAATTTATTCCTGTGATGCAAAGCTGATTTTTTAGCATTATTCATCCAGTCTTACTGTAAGTGTCACATGATCCTTCAGAAATCATTCTTAATATGATGATTTGCTGCTCAAGGAACATTTAGTATTATTATCAATGTTAAAAACAAAACATATGTGCTACATAACATTTTTTTTTTTTTGTGTGGAAACTTGTTTAGTGATTCTGATAAAACAATGTTTGCAACAATGTAAAAGTCTTTGTTTTATTTAAATCTTACTGACCTCAAACTTTTGAACAGTAAAGCACATAATCTTTTGCAAGGTATTTTTTTAACAACGTTTTTTTTTTTTGAACATCATGTCATAAACATACATAGGCTATACCAGTGACCAGACATCAAACAGCTGACACATCTACTGTAGTGATACGATATATACCATCATACCACCCAGCCCTGTACAATCAAGTTCAGGTAGGATAAAATGTGTATAAAAGTCCTTTCCATCAAGTTTAAATAGAATCAGTGAAGATTTGTTTTGGTGATTGGCAGATATTTGAGTAAATGATGGTTGTATACTCAGGCGATGTATACAGTGTGACATCCTCTTTATGATATGTGGGCTTGGCCGCTCTACAGCATGAAGTGCAGGCCTCCGTGTTGGCTAGTCTGTCACAGACCCGAGTGCTATGCCAATTCAAACAAAAGCCCCTTGTCTGAGCGCAACAGTGTGATCGGCCACCTCGTCTCTGCTTGTGAGGTCTGTGGCGTCACTCCCAGCTCTCTGTCACCATGTGCTGGTGCCACTCCATGTCATTCAGGAGCTACGCAGGAAGTGCTAGCATGCTAGTTGCGCAACAGCTGCATGGCTGGCGATTTTTGGGCTGAATTTTAAGCACTCAATCTTTCTCTCGGGATTCAGATCACGGTCAAAACGCCTGAATGCCACCCACAAGGCCCTTTGATTTCCGTGGACGTAATCGTGGAAGCCAGACACAAAAAATTTATTTTAAGTTTAACGCGGAATGTCATGGAAATTGGACATTTTTGGATGAATGAATAAACACTCAATCAAATCGCAATGTGGGCTGTATACTCAATCAAATTGCAATATGGACTAACGTCTGTGAATATTAAAGTGCAAAAAGAGTGAAAAAAATATGAAGAATGTATGTCCTGCATGTTTCTGTAAATGAGCGGCGAACTTTCGTCACATACTCAAACGTGCAACGCTTGTGGTATTTCACCATTTCATTTGATTTAAACTATCGTCATCATGTATCCACAGTTATGAAAACCCGTGAAAAAAGTTTACTTTTGAAGAAATTGCGACAGAAATATATCCGTTCAGTAGAATTTACTTCTCAAAGTAATAAGAAAAAGAATACATTATTAAAACATAATTTTTCTAAGGAATATCAGCATTTTTCTTCCATTTTCACTTTAAAAGTAAACAGAAGTTTTGAAAAGATAAAACATTTTATTATTATTCTTGAAACCTTATTCATATAATATACCCATACTTACAGTAATATACCCTATTAGACTTTATTCTTGTTGATAAATTTATAAATTGTATTTTTTATGAATTTATTTCATTAGACATACTTTTTGATTAAATGTATTTGTAAACCAATCAAATTTAACTAAAAAAAATGCTGTTAAATTGTTTCATTATATCAATTAATTAGACATGATTTTCGTTATTAAACTGAAAAAAATAAATAATCCAGAACAATTAAAATGGAACCAAATTAATTTGGGGGAAAATAAAACTAAACAATAAACCGAATATCACAGTGCCCTACATCCATAACCACAGGAAATGCAGCTGATTGAGCAGAGAACAAACGAATGAAGGCAGACTGACACACTCAATGCAAGGCTTGCTTTAAGCGTCTTCATGGTGGAGGCACAGAGACACACTAGAGGGGTAAAACGTCTCCCCTCAGGACAATGACATACAAGGCACGTCTCCGGGACTCTCCTCTTCAGAAGCCTAAGCGGACAAGCAGACGCGTAAATGACGTGATGTCGCTTTAGCTGTTCCACAGCTAAACTGTTCTCGTCCAATGAGGAGAACAGGCATCCCGAACAACGTCAGGCAGGGTGATGGGCGGTCAGCAATGTCATTGATGAAGGATAGATATATTAAGAGGGGGTCGCTGTTGTTTCTGACCCGAATCGCCATCAAGCCTTCCTCCGATCCACTGGGGCCAAGAGTGGGCGGCGGATGGCGGGCACCGGTCCAGCAGACGGAAAGCACCCTCCAGCACACGCGGCTACGAGAGACTCGATACTGCCAGCGGGCCAAAACGCCACCCGCCTGCCATAGTGCAACCACACACACACACACACAGTGACATTAAAGGCATGGCAGAAGGTGCAATGCAAGTGCCCATGTGCAGCTCTTCAGCCCCTCTCAGTACAGGCATGCCCAGTAACAGAGGTTCAAATTGTACTACCCCCTTACCTTAGATCACTGTAGGCTTTACTGTACACTGTAAAAAATGTTATCATCGTCATGGAAATGTTTTTGACAACTGGATTTTCTTCATCGGGAATTAAATACAATTAAAAAGTGCTATGGGTTTACTGTTTTTAAGGGAGTAATTCACTTCTTTTTTTTTTTTTTCAGTGTGTAGAAGAATCAGTATCAGGATATCATCGAACACTAGTTCTGGGTGATGCTAAACTCACCTTGGCGTCCTTAGCATAGTAGAGTGTACGTCCCCGCAATTTGAAATAACGTTTTTTCCAACGCTGGAACGAGCTCGTCTGTTTCAGAAGCAGCCCTTCCTTCACACTCGTCTGCAGAAAGAAAGAGATGTTTAATAAAAAGTCAGAAACTGCACAGCACAATCACATAGGGGTGGGTGAATCTTATATCACGATATGAGTTATTTTATTTCACGATACAGTGAAATATATTTTTTACTTTAAAACATGATTTAATGACTTTTGATACTATTGGAATTTCATAAATCTAGTCACCAATTTCAATATCACACAAACAAAAAAACTAATACTAGCCTAAGTAAAATTTTTCTCAAGCTTACAGAAGGCAAGTAAGCAGCCAGTGATAAAATAAGAACAAAGAAACTGATTAAATAAACCTACCTAAAACTTCAAGAACTAGAAATAATAAATACTACATAAATTGTATTGTATAATCAAATGTAAAAAAACCCCCACTGCATAGTCTTCACTGTGTAAATTAAATTTACATTTATTCTTATTAAATATACATTCTTATCAGTCAAGAGCAGTGAGAGATGTTCTCTCTTTTGTTGTTTGATAAACATTAAAGAAAGACAGCAGCAGGTTTATTAGGCTGTCGTCACTTTACGACTCAATGCACGGATCCAATAAACTGTTACACATGCGTTTTCTTTCACAACTGTTTACATTCACTTAAGACATAAATTAATGTATTCATGAGGATACTTGCAAAAATTGGCATTTTTTTAAAAACTCATGTTAACGACAAGTTTTCATGGTCATGTAGAACAGCACGAGACGGTAGTCCAAAATCTTTACCTTGTTAATCTTGTCTAGAGTGATAAACAGTAGTTGTCAGAAGTGATATTTGATTAGTTCTGTTCCAAAACCTAAACATTTTTGTATTTTTCCAAAGCTGACACATCTCGTTTAGGTGTAGAAACAGTTCCATCTAATTAAACTATTATGTACTTTTTGTGCTTATTGGACTATCATGTTTTTAGCTTAGCAACATGCTAGCACCAAACTATTTAAAACAATTATAAAGGCCTGTTCACTCCAACAAATTACGATTTTTGCGTCATCGGAGGATTTTTTCCAGATTAAAAATACATAAATCTCTCGTCTCAGGGGGATATGAGGGTGGAAGGCCTAATTCGAAAATACTGTACTACAGGTTTTCTAATACAAAGCATAATGCTAAATCCTGAAGTATTCTTTTAAGTTACCTTTAAAGGAAGGCAGGCAGACAAGGTTTGGAAACAGAATCCAAGTCTTTGGTGAAAAGATGTGAGTGGCGTAAACATTTCATTGACACTGACAAACCAAAATGTATTTATTAAAATCAAACCAAATCTAAATGATTTGATTTGACAAACGTAAAGCATGCTTCTCTTTTGCCAAATGGAAAAGTTTTCACATTTTTTTGCCATTTCCTGTGGATATATTCCAAGTTACCAGAGCTGACTGAGTGACATGAAACAGACAAGGCAATAAAATAGTCCTCTGTCTAACCAGCTAGTCAAGTAAGCTAAATTATAACCAAAAATGTGAGCTTTTCCTCCACACAAACCATCCAGTTATATCCCAGCTATGTAAACAATGTTATAATGTACCAAACAAAGCGGCGGTATTTGAGACTTAACATAAGCGTAAAGGAAGCAGAATTTGAAACACGATATCAGCTCTGGACGTCCACAGGGACATGTGCACATTGCCACTGCCAGAGGAAGGAACAGGAAGCCCTGCCAAGATCAAGTGCGCCTCAACACCAATTTCATGCTTGGGAGGGGAAAGACAAGGCAAAGGGGCATGCAAGAAAGGAAACCCATTACTCAAAAAGATCCTGTCCTGCAGAGTGACACCAAACTCCCGAAAGCAACGAAAGGAATCAAACCTGAGATCTACATCTTTAAACCCCCTTCAACCAAAACTTTCCTCAAGATCATCAATTTTGCAAAGCCGGATAAGCGACTCAAGTCTGCTGTGAAAGTGACATTCCAGACGGCCCGATGCAGTTTTCAAAGGCAGCGCATGCGGTTTCGTCCCTGCATGGGCCGGAGGTCTTTGACACGGCAGTCGGAGAGAGATGAGGGCCAACGCCGAGGGTCATCCCGTCAGCCAGTCGCCTTGGCTACACTGTCATTTCACATCATCCCAGACCCAACCGACAATAAACAAGGCCCATAGACCTGCAAGCACTCATGCTCCTTCCTGTCCATTCATCTACAAATATAGCAGGAACATGGAAGAAAAAAAAACAAAACAAACAAACACAAATCCACAGGCATATATGGGAGGACGGCTATTTATAGCAGAGGAAATATGCTCTCTGAGGGGAGAATTACAAACAGAGACGCAGGGTTCGATCCGACATCCTGGTGCACAGCTGTGTCAACTTAAACAGCGAATCCATCCGCAAGCGCACTCGGTGACACCACGTGTCTGTTAAAACAGCTCGGTTACAAAACACTCTATCTTCACCTGCGAGACAGTTAATGTGCAACAGCGAAAAACTAACTTCTGTGGGGTCTCAACTGTGCATTCACACCGGACGCGAACAGCGCGTCAAATTCACGTCTACCGCGTCACTAGTTTTCAAGAGTGAAACTGACGCATAAAAACAAAAGTTTCAAGCGAAATTTACGTGCGTCGGAATCGAAACCCGTTGGCGGCCATCTTGTTTATGTTGACCGAGCATTGAACAAATCTCCAGAGCAAATACACAGCGGCGACTCTCGATGAATACTCGATCAACATAAACAAGATGGCCCCCAACGGGTTTCGATTCCGACGCACGTAAATTACGCTTGAAACTTTAAGTGGTTAATTAAGTGGTCAAGCGTCAAACTAGACGCGGTAGACGTGAATTTGACACGCTGTGAACGCACAGTTGAACAGCCTCCAAAAGTTATTAACCTGTCCTGTGATTTTTTCTCTCTCTCATGTCCAGACACAAACTTATGCACATGTATGTTGGTTGTCTTATATTATACAAATATTTAATATAATCTAGATATGGAATAAATAAAATTCAATACAAAATAAACGTGTCATATATTGAAATAAAGTTTTAAGTGATAAAATATTTGCTTTGTTGTGCATTAGAACCACACCAGGCATTTAGTCATACTACAAAAATATTTATTGAAGCATCCAGATACTTCACCACATGACAGCAGCAAGCAGCTAGGCTCCGGATTGGTTAACGCGGCGCGAATTGACGCCAAAGTTCAGGTTTTTCAACTCGGGCGGCAAGCGCAAATTCGCGTCAAATGCGTGAACGCACAAATAGCACTAACTAAATCATTCGTGGCGTTCGAGCAAAATTGACGCGCGAATGAGGCGTATTCGCGTGTAATGTGCCGCGCTCTACGCCTTATTTGCGCCGCAGGATTTTTTTTACGCACGTAACTGGTCCTTGCATTGACTTAACATTGAAATCACTCGCACCGGATGCGCTGTTCATATAATCAACAGTATCGCAACAATTTCATATCGTGAGTTCTGTATCGTGATATGTATCGAATGAGGGTATCGTTACCCCCTAATAATGATAATAAATGTTTCTTGAGCAGCATATCAGCATTTTAGAATGATTTCTGAAGGAATATGTGACACTGACTATAGTAAGTAAGACTATAGTAATGATGCTGAAAATTCAGCTCTGCATCACAGGAATAAATATATTCAAATAAAAACAGTTATTTTAAATTATAATAATATTCCACAATATCAACTATATTTTTGGTCAATTACATGCAGCCTTGGTGAGCATCAAGGACTTCTTTCAAAAACATTTAAAAAAAAATGTAGTACTGTACGTTTGTTGCTACATTAAATGAAAATGTAATGTTTTATTTCAATGTTCCTCTTTTGTTTGAGTCTTTCGGCCACTTGGTTCCCTTTTTTCTTGTCTTCAGTTCCCTTCCTGTTGCCAAGTGGGATAAGAAGTGATCTATTAATAGACTGTTTCTTCACGAAACTGTAAGAGGGAGAACGGCTCAGTGCCAGACATACATGACTAACCCCACTGCGCTGCACTGTACACCCACACCTCTCTCAACATCACACACACACACACGCTTACACCAGACACCGATGAGCAACTCAACCACGACTCACTGTAACCACACACCACACACACACAACAGAAGCTTCTCTTGTGAGGACACGAGTAACGTTTCTTCAGAAAGTGAGTGATATAACAGAGGGACATCCTGTGAGTGAGGATATCCAGCCTCAGTGCTTTGCTCTCGGACACATGTCTGCAGTGTTTGAACCCGCAACAAACACACACACACATATAAGCGGATTATCTACAAGCTCCAGAAATGGCATAAGCTCGAAAAAAGCCTGGAAATGTTTCTTTATTTAAGTTATTTTTGTATTATTTACATACTGTATGTGTGTATACTAAATATATATTAAAATATATTTTGATATATTTAGTTATATTTAGCTTTAATTTATATGTATTTCAGTTTAAGTTGAAATAATTTTAGCATATTTTTATACCTTTAATTTAAACTTATTTAATTTCAGTTTGTTACGCAGACAACATTTATAAATACTATATATATATATATATATATATATATATATATATACACAGTGTTTTTCATCTACGAATGATATTTTATTATATTTCAGCGGTATTTCAATGAAAGAGGATTTTAATAGTTAAGGCCAGTTTGCACACAAGAGCGATAACCTAAAAGATTTGAGTTTTTTCATGTATCTTAAACCCACAAACAATTAAATTATATTTTTACACATTTAAAAATAATTTCATATAATTACAGTTTGATTGGAAATGATGCACAATACAAATATACTATTTTGTGATATTTATCTTAATTTTATTCTTATTTTTTTAACACATCATGTTTAATATGTCATCTGAGCCTTTTGTCTTTTGGTAAACTACACTAACAGGAAAAAAAAAAGCTTTTGTCGGTTGTGGTGGAAATAACATCACAACTGTTGTATTTTTTTAAAAGGGTTTTTAAAAGTATTTTTTTACACAATTAATATATTGAAATAGTTTGTGTACTTCACTGTCCGTATGTATCTATTTTTTTTAGAAT